TAATGAAGATATTTGACTAATCATAGAATAACATAACCAGTTAATGGTGAAAACCTGCCCACCGACTGCGTTGAGAAATTCATTATCGCAATCCATACTTTTCCCAGGATGATAAAACATAATTTCATGAAAGCTGCGGACATTTTACATAGCAAACAATGAGTTCTTCGTTTGTTCAGTCATCACAGTTAAGAAGCAGCAAAATACGTGCACCTTCGGTGCAATCAAATATAGTAAGTCCGCTCTTCTTGTAGATCAGATTATCGTTGCGATGATTTGGACTCCAGAAGGACAACTTTCAAGACGGACCCCTGTTGCACAGGCATATGGACGGAATAGAAATGGGACATTTAGGGAGAGAAGGCTCAGGTATATTCAGCTCCTGCTACTGTGAACCTGTGGATTGACGAAAGTCATGAATACAAGGGAAATCTGTTGACTCGAAATTAACTGTACACTGTGAATATGGACGGCAATAGAGACGGTTTACCAAGGCTACAGAAAAGTGGTTATGCCCAAAGCTTGCGGGTTTCTGACTGACATAATTTCCTTTCTTAGCCAGCAGAAAGAATAACGCATACAACAGGCCGGGTAAGTTTTCTGACTTGCAGACACCAACGCCGTTAGACTGCTACCTTTCCGATTAGAATAACACAATATGCTGCGGCAGTTGCCTATTGCCCAGCAGAACACATTGCATGAAAATAGTAAACAATTCAAAGATTCAAAGATAGCTCGGGCTGTCAGTGTGGATTCTTCATATTTCCCACACGCCGAGCGCAATCATGCCAGGCTGTTTTGTCCTTGGCGGTTTGTATCCAGGTCTTTCCTGCTATTTCCTCCACGTACGTCCGCCACCTCATCGGAGGTCGCCCGAGTGGTCGTTTTCTTTCTCTCGGGTACCATTCTACAATGCGCGAGCGAGGTCCATCGGTTGTCATCGAGACGTGCGACGTGGCCTGCCCAACGGATCTTGTTCACTCTCATGGTTTGCACGGTATTTTGCACGCCACTCATTTTTCGGAGAGTTTTGTTGTCGA